CAAATTTCAGTGAAGAAACCCTCCTTTTCCACCGTTATTCGTGATATATTTAGGATTAGGAAAATCTGGGAGCCAGCACTCTGCAGAAGACACGCAGCAAACCCAGACGGTACTGCAAAATGGATTACTTCAAGGACCAGCAAGTGGGAGTTAGAAAGACATTGCACATCAAATTGAAACTACCTTATTCCACACGCTGGTAGGCTTGCTAACTCTAATTTTATCAGAAAGTCTGTCTGATCTGATTTCCATATCCTGTTCCTTTCTGTTTAGTAAGTGCAGTCACTTTGGCCAGTTGTGTTTGTTGTGTGTATTTACTTTCTTAAATTCATGGAAATGAGTGTGATCTTTCTTTATTTGGAGTAATAAAACCAGAAAGAGCTTTTATATCAACATCACTGAAATTGAATTTGTGGAAATATTTTGTCTATATGAGGTTTTATTTGATTCTTTAATTCATTTCATTTCCTGAATTTAGATTCAATTATGTTCTTCCTTTTAAATATATTCTGTTGTCCTTGCTAGACTAGCTGTTCTTGTGACGAATGCAAATATTAATGAAATCTCATATCTGGAGTGCAGACGTTATTGAACACTTGCAACAGAACCTGAATTTGTATTTGCTTTCCAGCTCTGGAGAAAACAAATTGTCATCAGTGATGTACCTATGCAGGTGATTACTTGACTGCTCCAGTGAGAATCTTGGGGGGAAAAAGAGGATTAGGGTGATATGAGTTTGAGCTGAGGGAAGCATTGCTCCTGTTCTGGATTTGTAGTTGGCCTCTTTTAATATGAGTTTTATAATAAAAGAGAGTTTTTCTGAATGAGGTTGAATGTAGGTTGGTACTGAAAGAGGGACTGCTTTTTCCTAGGAAAAGTAAATGGGTGAAAATTACTATAAACAGAATTTAATCTGTTACTTCTTAGAGAAATAGGATGTTACATTTTCCCTCTGCTCTCAAGTTCAGGGCTGGGTAGTTGTGGTGGGTTGACCTTGGCTGGACACCAGGTGCCCACCGGGCCACTCTATCACGCCCTTCCTCAGCAGGACGAGGGGGGAGAAAAGTAGGATGGAAAAAAAACTTGTGAGTCAAGATAAAGGCAGTTTAATAAAGCAAAAGGCCGTGCCAGAAACAAAGGAAAACCCCCCAAAGATTTATTCTCTACTCCCCATCAGCAGGCGATGTCCGGCCACTTCCCGGGAAGCAGGGCTTCAGTACGCGTAGCAGTTGCTCTGGAAGACAAATGTCATAAATAACAAATGCCCCCACTGCCTCTTCCTTTCTGTCAGCTTTTTATTGCTGAGCAGACGTGATATGGTATGGGATATCCCTGTGGTCAGTTGGGGTCGGCTGTCCTGGCTGTGTCCCCTCCCAAGACCTTGCCCACCCCCAGCCTGCTGGTGAGGGGGCTGTTGGAGAGGCACAGCCGTGGTGCTGTGCCAGCGCTGCTCAGCAGCACCCAAAACACCGGTGTGTTACCAACACCTTGCTGGTGCCCGTGCGCAGCACAGCGCTGCGAGGGCTGCTGTGGGGAAATTGACCCCACCTCAGCCAGACCCAGTGCAGTACTATGTAATAAATCCTTGCATCACAACTACATGGACTGAAACATATGAAGAAAGATCACATCCTTAAACATATGACTTGCACTGATGTTCCAGTACAAAAATTCCTAACGTTATTTATTTAACATGATTTCTAGTTGTGTGAGTGACAGAAAAGGGTTAGTGGGGGAAAAAAAAAGAGTAAAAGGCTTAGGCACATTGGTGCTATAGGTATATGTTATGGTATTACAGTTGAGCCTTTGTAGTGTGGATTAGATTTTGTGCAATTTTCCCAAAATGGGGATGCTCCAGGGGAATCCACAACAATGGATACAAACAAGTAGAGGCCCAAGCATGGGAAGCTGGGTATGTTTCTATTTTTTGCCGGTTTACACTGCCCCTTTATGTTTATAGTTGTGTTAAACTGCTGGTATTTATCTCAAGGTGCTTTGGCATTTCTGAACTAAATGTTCTACAAATAAACAAATGATGGCAAGGGCAGCAGAGGATCAATCTATACAGAACAGGAGATGTGAAAACGAGCGCTAGGACAGGTAATGGAGGATGATGGAAGCTTTAGCTCTATCACCAGGTGGAACATGAGAACAGGCAAAACATTTGGGGTGTGGTGGGAAAGGTACATTGATGTTTTCTCACTAAGAACAAAATTTCTTAATAATTGTCAGGCTCTACCTTTTCAAGCTGAAATTCATTACTACATCAAAGTGAATGCCTTGCTGCTAACAGAATAAATGTCTCTATTTAGAATGTAAATGAGAAAAATGTATGAATTACGGGACATTTAAAGACTTGTGAGTGGCTGGCTGGCTGGAGTCAGTCTTATTTTAAATATTGACTTTGACATAATTTGATAACTAATAAGCTTCGTTTCTGATTCTCTGATAATTTCAAATGTAGCAGATCGTTATTAAAAGTACATGCTGCACTACACATGAAGCATAAACAGGTAAGGGGGGGTTTGTGTGGTGGGTTGGTTGTTCTGTTTGCAACCTGTCTGCCTCCCTTCCTACCCCCCTGCCATAATAAGGCGGTGCGCTCACTCCGGGGCACACTGCCGTGAGGGAAGGCTGAAGTCAGCCTTGCCAGCACTGAATTACACCAGCTTGAGGATGCTACTCTCTTCCAGAAGAGCCCTTCAGGGATAACTAAAAGAAGTTATGTACCGCCTGCGTCCCCTCTGTCCTCTTCTGCCTGGAGGAGAAATCTGCTTTGGGCAGTTCTTGGAAACAGACACCTGGATAGAGATGCAGTAAAGTCAAAAGAAAACCCAGAAAACATTTGCACAGATGTGGTTGACACAGGAGGTCATGATCTCATTTCATATGTCACTGCTTAATCTTAGCTGAGATAATTACATACATATGGCTGTCTAAACATGAAGTCAG